GTGAGCAGGGTGTGGCACTCAGCTGTGGAGCAGCTGGAAGACCAGGGGGAGGAACATGGGTAACAGAGTGAGTCCTGGGGGGTTTCTGAAAGGTCTGCAGCAGGATGCACTCAGGACTTCAGAAGACTCAGCAACATGAAGCAGGGAAGACAGAGGAGAGAGAGGAAGCTGCTGAAAGAGGTTTGCTGGGGCCAGGATGACCAGGGGCAGTGGCAAGGGAGGAAGTGGCAGTGGTGTGGGAGCAAAGATAGGCTCCTGGTGACAACATGCCAGCCTTGCTGTCCTCTCCCTCTCCCACTCCATCCTTCACATCCCTGCGAAAGTTCTACTTATGCCTCACTAATCCTTACATGCCACTGTTTTCTGATTAATCCTCCTTAAAGCATAGGTTTGGTCTTATTGAACCACCGCTCAAAGACAAAATCTCACAAACTTACTGGTTCCCCAGTGCTTTACCAAAAAAGTACGACAACAATGGCAAAACAAAAAAGCTTGCCTGCTGTACGGCCTTTTTCTTTGCATTGAAGCCTACCTTTCCAGCTGTAATATCCTAGTCATTTATCCATCTACTCAACAAATGCCCACTGAAAGGCTACTACATGCACAGCAGGGTCCCCGACCTCACGAAGACCACAGTCTAGTCAGATGAAATAAACCACCCACCGCTCTCCAAACACTGTTCCACAGCCAGCTCATGATGGCACCTTTGCACACCCCGCAGAAATGCCACTTCTCTTGATCTCAGCACATATATATGGATGTTTTTTAACAGCCCTTTGTTACATGCTGCACAATGCCCCTGTCTAGTGCTCTCCCCTCAGGCTTGTTGAAGGCAGGTACTGTACCTTCAACACTTTCATTCAGGAAACAGTTATAGAAGTAAATCAACCATAGGGGATAAAATGGAGGAATAAAAACTTATCAGCCCAGTGTTTTTCTGACTTCTCACTGTTTAACACACGATACCTGAGTTTGCTTTGGGGTTTCAACCCCTCAGTGGAAGCGCTGAGCAGTCTAGTGTTCCCGAAGCCCAGAGAGGGGGGTCTGCACAGAGACTCCAGCGAGGGATTCTTATGGAGGTAAGGGTCTGGCTTCAGGTCCTCAGCCCTTCCCTTGAGAAGATCTGTGTGAACAAC